CCTCGGTGGCGGAGCTGGGTTTAGATCCCCAGTGTGGCCTTGGGTTTGGTCCAGGGCTCCGAGGACACTCCTGCCCCACTCTCCTCCTGAGCGCAGCCCCTGTCAGAAGGGGCTAGAGAAAGGGCCAGGGCAGGGTGCTCTCATCCACATTGCTGGAATCTCCTGCGGCCCCTGCCTTTGAATTGGGCACCAGCTGTGTCTTTTTTGTTTGTTCGTTTGCTTTTTCGACTTTCTAAGCAATGAGGCATTCCTGGGTACAGAAGCCACTTAGCCAGAGAGTCAGCATACTGCGGAGTGATTGCTGAGGTCAGAAATCAGCCCATTCCCCCCCTCCCACTGGCCTAGCTCCTGGGTGCTAGGATACATCCTCCTGCGGACACTATCCCCTTGTAGGGTCCGAAGACTGTTCAGTTCAGAGTTTCCTCTGTCCCTCAGGACATCTGACTTGCCTTCCTGAAGTCACTGTGGTTGCAAGTGTAAAGCTATTGACCACTTTGAACATCTGAGGATAAAGTGGGACTTCTAATGGTTTTGACACAGAACCCACAGCTGCTCCCAAGGGCCCATGCCCTGTAACCTAGCACCTTATGAAAGGGTCCCATGGCCTGTTTGTGGCTACCACTGTTGTCTTGGAAGTTGAAGCCCCATGCAGTGGATGTCACCACCACGGTGGTGGCCCACTTGCTTTCACCCTCGTCCGGAGTGAATCCCTAGCCCCGACTGTAGGTGTGTCTGGGCAAGTGCACAGGGGAATACAAGGCAAGGATATAACCGCAGACTTGGATGTGAGGCCTTCTTAAATTCTGACTTTGCAATGGCTCCTTGAACACGTGAACCTCTCACCTGGAGAACGGGGAGCATGGGGGCCCGCTGGAGGGGGTGGAATGAGATCGTGCATGTGGACTCCACCAGGGCTGGGCCTTGTCTGCCCTGCTCATGGCTCTATCTCTCACACATAAGACAGCAGCTCCAGTCTCTGGGGCTGAGACTGTGGGGTGCTGCACCTGCTCACCACAAATGTCAGCTGCTGTGATCCCTGTTAACATCCCTGTTAACATAGCGATGGTAGTGCCCCGCCTACCTGCAGATAGGGAGAGCACAGACAGCCCTGGCCAGGAGCCACTAAGTGCTCCTCAAGTCATCATGGCCAGTGGGCAGTGCGGAGAGCTCCCGCCGTGAGAACCGAGGACACACATATGCCCACTGGGGAGTCTGGGTAAGCATTCGAAGGGGCATATGGGGCACATGGGGCATTTGAAGGCCACCATACAAAGTTCACTCACCTGCTTTTCCTATATATGAAAAAAATAGAGCTTCCAGAGCTGAGGGGCTTCCTTTCCCATTGCTTGGCTGCCTGACCACCAGCCACCGCTGGGAGCATCGGGCCCCGGTGGAACTTTGCTGACTTGTTTAGGACCTGGGCACAGCCAGGAGCAGAGCAACCTGGGGAGGGGACAAAGACACAAATGGCTGTTGAGACTGCATGGCCCTCTGCTCTACGTGAGGCTCCACTGGTCACAGAATTTATGCTCACGACATTCCCAATTGCTAGTACCTGCTGGCCCCAGTCTTGCCAGCATCTTCAGAGGCCTATCATAGGGACAGCTAACACACGTGCTGGAAGGATCCTTGGTCCTCAGCTCCAGGATGTGGGCGTTTAGACCATCCTTACAAGGAGGGAAACTCTGTGTAAGGTTGTTCTCTCACGTCACCGTGTCTCGAAGCACCAGATGACAGGACTGTAGGGAAAGTTCTCCAAAAGGCCACAGAGTTGCGAGTCAAGCTCAAGGGCCCTTTGGAAAGGCTCTCCAGCATTTCCCGAGGTGCTGCAGCCCCAGCCTGGCCCGTCCTGAGCCCCGTGGGGGCCTTCCACCTAAAGAAACCCTCAGGATCTCTGCTTCAATGTGTTGTTTGGAAAAACGCTCTGGAAACTCCAGTTCGAGGCCCAGCTCTACAGTACTTCACTGTTACAGTGCCTCTGGGAAAGTCGCTTTGTCCCTTTGTGCTTCAGTGTCCTCACGTACAGACCGGGGGGACAGGTAGATGCCCTATGGGATCTGTTCTGGTTTGGATGGTTCCCGCTTCCATTTTTTTCTCCCCGAATAATGATCAGAGCAGCGCCCCTTCTTGATGTCTTGTCAGGTGCTGGGTTCTGCGGTGAGGGCAGTGCACGGTGTCTCACGCTGCCCTCACCACAGGCTCTGCTGCAGGTGCTATCATCACCCCCCTTTGACAAACGAGGAAACTGGGCCTTCCGGGGAGGGTCACAGCCATCATGCTAGCATTGGTCACCATGCTGTCCTTCCTATGGGAATCATGTGTTTCTTGAGCTTCAAAGTGACTTCATCTAATGGATTAATTTACCTTGTTTTTCCCTCTTTCATTATTTATTCTCCTGAGGGAGTCACATGAAAAAGTCAAGAGCTGGATGTCCCCTTGGCTCCCTGGTGGTAGGGAAGGCTCACTTCTGGCACAAGTGCTAGTCAGTCAGAGTGGACCCTGAGGGGGTCTGCACAAGTCCCCGTAGAAACATAATGAAGGTCTAGGGAGCGGTAAAGAGACACAGGCCCTACGGTCAACCCACTAGTGTTTACACAATTTTCTTTTTTGAGACAGGGTCTTGCTTTGCTGCTCAGGCTGGAGTGCAGTGGCATAATCATGGCTCACTGCAGCCTCGACCTCCTGGGCACAAGCAATCCTCCCACACTGGCCTCCCAAGTAGCTGGCACTACAGGGGCATGCCACTATGTCCAGCTGATTTTTCAAATTTTTTGTAAAGACAGGGTCTCACTGTGTTGTCCAGGCTATAGACAGACATTCTTAATGTGGAGGCCGTGGACTTTAGCGTGAGGCCCGCCACCTCCTGCGTATGTACCCTAAGTCACAGACAAGGGAACAGAGGCCTCAAGAAGTCACGGCTTTGGTCATGGCCAACTCCTGTGACTTCTCCAGGCCTCTGTTCCCTCACTTGTAAGATTTAAATGACAGTCAATCCCACCTCATGGAGTGTTGAGGGAAATGTTCAAGGCAGGCCTCTGTGAACCCTTTGGAATGTCAGCAATGTTAGCCCTACTCCAGGACCTTAGTATAGGGTTTGGCACAAATATAGCGTCATATAACGATGTTTCAGTCAACAACAGATGGCATAGGGGATGGTGATAATACCGTATTTTTACTGTAACTTTTCAGTTTAGAGATACAAATAACATTTGTTACAAGTGCCTACAATATTCCGCACAGCACAGTAACATGCCGTATTACTTCATTCTTGCATTGCTATGAAGAAATACGTGAAACTGGGTGATTTATAGAGAAAATATTGGCTCACAGTTCCACAGGCTGCACAGGAAGCCTAGTGGCTTCTGCTTCTGGGGAGGTCTCAGGGAGCTTTCACTCATGGAGGGAGGCAAATCAGGAGCAGGCGTCTTTCACATGGCAGGAGCAGAACCAAGAGGGTGGCGGGGAGGGAGGGACTACACATTTTTAAGCAACTGGACCTCATGAGAACTCAGTATCATGGGAACAGTACCGAGCACATGGTGCTAAACCATTCATGGGAAGCTGATCTCCATGATCTAATCACCTCCCACGGGGCCCCTCCTCCAACACTGGGGCTTACATTTAATCATGAGATTTGGGTGGGGACACAGATCCAGGCCATACCACATGCTGTGCAGGTCTGCAGCTCTGCCAATAGGCTATGCCGTGTAGCCTAGGGGTGTAGTATGCTATACTGTTTAGGTTTGTAATCAGTAGATGCCATGATGTTTGCACAACGACAAAATCGCCTATAATGCATTTCTCAGAATGTTTCACTGTTCTTAAGTGACACGTGACTGTATTTGACAAATACTGCTCAGATTCTGGGTCCATGATGCTCAGGACAGCATCATGGTTTTGCATTTTATACACCTAACTTGCTTTCTTAAAGAACGTTAATAAGTGCCTAACCAGTCATGGGGATGCAGGGACATCCTGAAGTGCTGAATCAGAAATGGCCTGCCGGCAAATGCTACTGAAGAGGAAATCACTGATCACATTGTGCCTTCCCGCTCAGATCCATCCACGTGAGGAATTGTACCCATGGGCCCTAAAGCCCCAGACAGTGGTTTGGTTCCAGGATTGGGTGTGGGACCTGGGGTATGGCTTCCTTAATTCTCTTGCAAATCCAAGGGAAGAGTCCAAATTAATCACGTGGTAAGATGACATTAAAGCTGTTCCTTCCCTTAGGAAAGCAGCTGCCCACCCCCATGCCGCTAGCTGATAATGGCCACTCCTCATCAAATATTTATCCCAGCACCTGCAGTCCTCCATCAGCCTCCAGCATCATGCCAGGGATGGAAGCTGATTATTAAAACTGGTCATGAATGAGGCAGGCAGACTACAAAGTGCCTGGGATGGAAAGGGGGGAACATCAAAGCCCCATATTCTTCCTTAAAGGTCGCCTTCTGGAAGGGGAGGCTTCCTGCTGGGAAAACTTGAAGGGAGTTTGAGGACCTGGCCCCTCTGTGTGCCTCCAAGACTCTGGGGCAGCTCTTGCCCCTTCCCTTCCTCTCCAGTGGGGCAGAAGGCAGCTAAGCCCAAGTCCTGGGGCCAGAGGCCTGACTCCAAGCCATGGGTTTATGAAAAGCAAATAGATATCCTGCCCAGGCTCAAAGATGCAACTCCCTTCACTTTCAAGGGGAGACCTGGCATTTCATTAGTGCCCTCTTTGAAGCCTGCCCTTTGCAAAGCTGAAAAAGAAGAGAAGGGAGGAAGGAATGGAAGCTGATTCAAAAAGCTTCCTGTATTGTACCTGGAATTTCTGATGTCCCTCTGTGTGGCTTCACTCATTACATGGGTGGAGGAGCCTGTCAGGCAAGAAATCATGCCTGGTGCTTAATGGAACCCAGGGACCAATTAACCATACTGAGCACCAATGCCAGCGGGCAAAGCACTTCTAAAAGGAATAGGAAAAGACCTTCCCCCTTTCCCCAAATAAAAGACAAATGCTTTGTCAACAGCTTTTCAAGAGTGATCTTTTATTTTCTGAAAGTCCTAAAACCAATCCATTTATCGAAAGATGATTGATGCCCCAGTTCAAAAACCATATCTTTTTCTCTTTCAGCAAATCCTGAAGCCCCAAGAGGGCTTTGGCCTGAGTAAAGTGGCGACATCAGAACCTGCCCTCCACGCCCAACAGCTGGACTGCGGCCTCCTGCACAGCCTGATGGATGTGACTGACCTCTTTCTGGGACAGAGTCCGTTCCATGTGGCGATAGGTGATGCGGTAGCAGTGGCTGGTCCTGTGCGTCCTACAGAATGGGGAAGAGAACACAGGGGAGTGAGGGATGAGGCTGGTCTTGTGCGTCCCAGAGACAGGAAGAGAACACAGATGAGTGCGGGATGGACGAGGCTGTGCCTGCAGGAGCAGTGTGGCTCGCCCAGCCGGATCTCCCCAGCTGCAGTGGAGAACAGAGGCTGGGATCCAGGTACCACTTATTGCTAACAATCTGCATCTTTCACAGGGGGAGAAGGTGATAGTCAGGGAGACATTAGCTTGACTAATGGAGGCTGCTGGTTTCTCCTGGACTGGATATATGAAAGTCCCCTGGGAGGGAAGCTGACAAATTTGATTTCCTAATACACCCTGGAGATCTGGATTCAGCAGGTGGGAGGTGAGGCCTGCGCTTTTGAGCCTGGCCCAGGTTCTCCACGTGATTCTCCACAGGGTCAGGGGTCAACCCAAGTGTGCCTCCTCCTTTTTCATGTCATGGAAGGTAATTGTGTTTGTGAGGCACACTGCAGTATCAGCAAGGCTCGAGGCAAGGCTGAAGGACTTACTCCTTCAGCACCCCCTGTCGGCTGTCTGGGAAGCATACAGGCCATATATGCCATGTATGTGCTGTGCAATTACTTTAGTCTCTTCTTTACTACATTGGTGTTGACTTGGCTTGCACGGAACAGCTGAGTAATCCTGGAATACATGGAGATGACAGCAGTAGGTCCTTCTATTTGGATGGCAGATGATAAGACACACTGGTCAGTTGATCTCATCAGAAAGACCCCGAGGCCACAAACTGGTGGATTACCTGAGGTCAGGAGTTAGAGACCAGCCTGGCCAACATAGTGAAACCCTGTCTCTACTAAAAATACAAAAAAGTAGCTGGGCGTGGTGGCAGGCACCTGTAATCCCAGCTAGTTGGGAGGCTGAGGCAGGAGAATCACTTGAATCTAGGAGGTGGAGGTTACAGTGAGCCAAGATTGCGCCACTGCACTCCAGCCCAGGCGACAGTGCGAGAATCCCACCCCCCCCCAAAAAAAAGAGTTAATTTTATGTTATGTAAAATTTTCCTCAATTAAGAAAACAAAAACTAGGAAATCTGGTTTCAGAGCCCAACTATTAACTGTCACGCTCTTCCTTTAATCCCATCGTCCTTTAAGAAGTGACAAGGTTTGCAAGCTATGGAGAAGGGTAATTTAATTGTTCTGTTAAAAAAAAAAAAAAGATGGAATGAGCCCACGCTCCTCTCTTGCTCTGCCCTTCCACCAACAGAGGGCACAGCTGGAGAGGAAGAATGACAGTGAGTGAGGTGGGCTGTGCCTGGGGCACAGATGCTTTAATGTCTTTCCTGCTTACAGCGGCATTAAAGGTGGTCTGGGAAGCTAGACAGCTGGCTGGGGAAATGAGTGCTGCCAGGGTAAGGAAGGAAGGGTAAGGGCATGGGGCCAGGGTGGGCACCACGACGTTGCCACTGCCCTCCCCCAACTCATCAGGCACATTCATCAGGACAAGAAACCTGCCCCAAAGGAGAGAACAGGCTGCACTGACTACCTGGAGTTTTAGAAGCAAATAAAAGTTCTCTTTTATGTACTTCACAGCTTCTACTCATAGGCAAAGTAAATGAGATTGCCCATTGCTGAGTCTGAGAGGTCAAATCCCATTATAAGGAGTTTGAAGAGAGATTCTAAAAAAAAGTTTTTTGGTGCTGCAATTTCATTGCATTGGGGTATTGGCTTAAATGAGTTGGTCCCTGGATACAGCTTGAATTTTAAAAATATTTTGGTATAGGAATCTTAGAATGTTTGAACCTGCAGGGCTTCCACTGTCACCAGTTTATTCATAGATTCCTTTGGTCATTCGACAACCAGCATGTTCCAGTCACTGGGCTAGACACAGATAAGCACATGAAGGGGAGCCAGGATCTGCCCTCAGCCAGCTCACAACCCGGAGTTAGCAGCCTGCTGAGGTCCTGCAGCAATCTGGGGGCTGGCTGGGCAGAGGACCGTTCCCCAGTATGCCAATGGCAGCAGGAGGGGCTGGTACTTGCTTGGCAGTAACGTCAGCCACACCCCACATAGAACCTCATGTTCTCCCAAGATTTGCTCTTCAGCACATAATTTTTCCCACCTTTGTACCTCCCTAAGAACACTGACATGTGCTGTTTGTCTAGGACAGTGCAGCACTACAGGGCCCACCAGAAGGCTTCAGATTATCCTGCCTGCTAGGAGCTTACCTCCCGAGAGGGGCGAACAGAATATGACAGTCATTGGCAGGTGATGAACGATATCACGGTACATGCTATGCCCAGGGCCCACCTCTTCCACTCTCCCAGTGCTGCCCATCAGCTCCCCATTGAGAGATTCAGCCTGGCTCTTCAAACTGGAAACATGACTCAAACTTTTCCTGAAACTTACTTTTACTTGGATCCTGGTCCCTGCTCCAGGGTGACTGCCACCTAACTTGACCATCCTAGATAAGAGCAGCAGCTTGTGTGGAAGCTGACAGCCAGGGCCAGAGGCGCAGCCCCATGTGGGCCGATGGGAGAGCTGGGCTGGACAGCAGAATCCAACAGCAGGGAGGGGATGGCGTACTTTGATGCCACCTCCTACCAGAGCCCTTAGACCGAAGACAAGGATGTACAGAAGCTGAGTATAGTCAAGTCTGGCTCGGTCTCTCCTCTTCCTTTAATCCCAATGTTCCCTAAGAAGTGACAAGGTTTGCAAGCTATGGAGAAGGGTAATTTCTTTTAATTGCTCTGTTTAAAAAAAGATGGAATGAGCCAATGTTCCTCTCTGGCTCTGCCCTTCCACCAACAGGTGAAGGATTCTCAAAACGATGAATTCTCAAAACTATAAATGTTTAAAAGGGGTCCCTTGCCAGTGCTTTCTTGTTTTGTATTTTTTTTTTCCTGATCGACTTAAGTGATACAACTAACAAGTACCGAAAGTACTGCCAAGAGTGTCACTGCTCTCCAGTTCAAAGTGCGCCCAGAGAAGATTTTCTAAAGAACTCGGGGCTCTCGAGCCTCGCTGGAAAGCTGAAACAAGGGGTCAGGGTGCTAGCGAGGGTTGGAGTTCCTCTATCATACAACCACTTGGTTTACTCTGGCAACCAAACGGGCTCTGAACTCGAAATAAAACCTTTCCAGGGGATCCAGCCAAATCCCAGCTCCTGCAACATCCACAATAGTCTGCTTCTCCATCTGTGACAGAGCAGCGACTTCATGTTCTTGGATGGTGCGCTCGACACCTCCCAGAATAGCTCACATATGACCAGCAGTCACTGCAGCTGCCATCTATTCATGCAGGGATTACTCAACGGGAGAGAAGATGCTGTCACGGGGCAGCTTCCATTTTCAGAGTAACAAACACTGGGTTTCCCCGGCTCACTCCTCATCTGTCTCCTGCGTGTCTGATGCAGAAGCTCAGTCTGGAGCTGCCCACGTCAGAGGCACTGTGCTTGGTTGCGAGGGTCAATACACGCAAGGTTTTCACGGGCAGGGCTGGACTCAGGCAAGAGGCACAGCATGACAGGAGGAGGAGGAGGAAGTGGGGATGAGTTCCATGGCCTCTCCTGAAAATAGAGAACTCAATGGGCATGGTGGAGTGGAGAACCAGACTTTGCAGCTAGAGAAACCAGGTTCTAATTCCTGCCCTGCCCTTTGCTATCTGTGCGACTCTGGGCAGTTTACATAAACCTCCTTGCCTCAGTGACCCCATCTGCAGAGTGAGGCGAACAACACTTGGTTTCCAGGGTTAGCGAGGACTGAACGAGGGGGCACGTAGTGTTAATACAGAGCCAGCTGCCCATCGTAGGCGCTCAATACCCACTCATCGGCCCATGTTCCTCCTTTACTCTGTGGCTTATTGGCGAGTACAATCAAACGGCGGGGTTGAGGGACTTCTATTTCCTGTGTTTCTTTTACCCTCCTCCGAACTACGACTATGACTTTGGACTGAGGATGGGAAGCGATTCTTTCCCAGGGAGCACAGAGGCATTAGTTTGCTTTGGCTGCAACAGTGAAGTGAGGAGTGGAAGTCAGGGAAGGCGATGAATTATTGCTCGGAATTCGGATTAAATAAGTCGTCTGGAAACTAAGTGAATCATTTTTCCCCTTTACCCCTTTCTCTATGTTTAAAGAAAACCAAAAGAGAAGAGAAGAAGAAATTCAGACCATGAGACTTATGGCTTTCCTAATGAACTGCTCTGGGCTTAATGCAAGAAGAGGACATGGGCCTGGGAGGCAGGAGGCCAGGGTGCCAGCCTAAGCCCCTGTGATGAATGACTGCGTGAGTCTGGCAGAGTCATTTAGCCTCCACTGGCCTCATTTTCGCCCCCAATGACAAGGCTGGAATAAATGGGCTCTGAGGCTCCTTCTGGCTCTAGAATCCCAAGAGTCAGCTCAGAAGACAGAAGAGATCCTGTTACTTTTATTTATTTTTTTGAGACATGGTCTCACTCTGTTACCCACGCTGGAGTGCAGTGGCACAGTGGCATAATCACGGCTCACTGCAGCCTCGACCTTCTGGGCTTTAGTGATCCTTCCACCTCAGCCTCCCCCAATAGCGGGGAACCACAGGTGTGCACCGCCATGCCTGGTTAAGTTTTTGATTGTTTTGTAGAGACAGGGTCTTGCTACATTGCCCAGGCCAATCTCAAACTCCTAGGCTTGAGCAATCCTCCATTATTCCCAGAGTCTACACAGGAAGAAAGGGCAAGGCTAGGATGGGCCCATGATCTGAGTGATGAGAGCCAGAGGGAAGCGTGCTGGCCTAATGAGGGCTGAGGGCAGCGTGGCAGGGCCCATTGAGAAAGCCACCGTGCAGATGAGGGGGCTCCAGCAGTAACAATGCTCTGGACACCTCTCCGCCCCCTCCCTCTATTCCCTTTGTTATTTCGCAAATACCGTACACGCACTCCCCACAGCTAAGAGGCTCTCCTTGTTCTCAGAACAGCCTGTCCTGGGCCCGACGCTCCTGTGGGGCCGTTCTGAATGGTGCCTCCGCCAGCTCCCAGCCAGCGAACACCAGT